ATTTTGAGTGAATTATCTTCAGTAGTTACTAAAATATCGCAGTTTTCGTATTTCTGAAAATTACCGTTATATGGGAGGTAGGCGTGGTTATTGTCCGATTTTGCCCATTTTCAATCTGAACCTACCTTGGATTAAGGGAAACCTACATACCAAATTTCGTTGAGATATCTCAATTTTTGCTCGAGTTATCGTGTACACGGACGGACGGACAGACGGACAGACGGACGGACAGACAGACATGGCTTAATCGATTTCTTTTTTCATCCTGATCATTTATGTATACATTTGTCTATATCTATCTCGATTCGTTTTGCCTGTTACAAACAACCGTTATGTGAACAAAGTTATAATACCCTTGTGCACAAGTGCGCTCGGGTATAAATATAATCAGGTAACCATATAACCTGATAACCAGACAGGCGTGAAGAGCCACGATATGTTTTAATTGAAACACGAAATATCGGAGTAAAAAATTCACCTTCTTTTCATTGAAAATTAACAAGTAATTTTTAAGCAAAAAAAAAACTGACTTTAATTCTCATATAAAAATTTTGGAGTACCGTTAATTTCGTCTTAATTCAATTACTGCAATCGGTTAACGTGCTTCAAATTTATGCACCATTATACATGAAAAAAATATATATATTCCGACGAATTGATAAGCTCCTCCTTTTTTTGAATTCGGTTAAAAATGAAAATAGTTTCCGGTTCAACATTATGATGTGTGTGTGTGAAATATCAAAATTACAGTTTCGCCATTTTCTAAAGCCACATTGGATTTTCCAGCCGCTAAGGGTGGCTAACCGCGTTATTTCGATATGCATCATAAAAGAATTTTTCACAGTACCGACGCATTAAAATGTTAACTTTTATATTTGATCCCCTGCTGAGGAAACTAACGCAGCATAACTTAGTAGTAATGGTAGTAACGAAAGTATGATCGGAATCTGTGGAGATTTGAAGACTAGGCAGCTGTTTTGATACAAAGACAGGGGACTATTTCAAATTCCAAAGAGGATAGGATAACGGGATCCAGAACACAAAGTCAGAATGTGAATTTAAGATACCGTCAGTTGTATTAGATGAGCTCCAAACTGTTGAGGTCATGCCAGAGAACTAGGTTTCTGCTTCGACAATTACTGCAAAAATTTTAAATATATTCGTTGTCCATTTTCAGGGTAAACGCTGAGATAAATAACAGACGAATTTCGACCAAAGTAACAGATTGATAACAGTGTGGCCATTGCATGTACATATTTGAGAGAGACCATTTTTCCCACATTTATGGAATATCTCAAGTAAATGCCAAATTCGACCGGCTAAAAATATATGTACATATGAAGCTGAACTTGAGTGATTGCTGGAAAACAGTTTGCCATAAAAACCCCGATTTGACCAAAATTTTGACTTGTGGGGTTTCGCAAATAACACTGTAGGGAAACCTCAAGTTTAAAATTATACAAAAAACGACGAAACACTTAAACTTAACTGTGAGTCGTCGATTACGAATCTGTATTCTGTTTCATATTTTATGAAAAAAAAAATCAAATTTTAACTTTTAATTTTAATTTTAATTTTTATGAAATATGAGCAGGGCGTTTACTTGTAATTCGATTCGAAAGTATTTTTGTCCGAAAACTTATTTGATGTACCCCCTACATATATCGAAATCGAATTGAAATATTCCGTTCTCGGATTGCCATATTTGATTTACGGATATGAGCAGCTACGTACAGCGCATTTGATTTTCAACGTTACTCGAAAATTGAAAATTTATTCGAAAGCGTTTTGGCTTTTTTCGTACATGGCGTATGAGCAACATTTGTTTGTTTGAATTTCTTTTCATTCACAATACAAAATTTAAATGAAAATATCTTTGAAAAATGCCATGATCTAAAAAAATGGTTTTTGGATCCGTAATCTATGACTCAAAAATTAAGTTTACGTGTCACCGCATTTTTTGTGCCATTTTAGCGTGCCTACAGTGTAATCGGTTCATATTTGATAAGCATTTGTGTACATAAAAACTAGTTTTAATTCTTTAGGTGGAATTTCCTGAATTTATTAATATTTTTATTTTTATTTGAAAATTTGGTTTTCCATCCCAGAGTCTCATCCAGCTCTCAAGCTTTCATTCTCCGATCGCTCAATATTTTATCCATAGATTTTACTGAGGATTTCTGGCGTGACGCCATTTTCGCTAAAGTTTAAATATTTTTTTCTTACCCTCACTTGCGTAATCCAATTTATTTTAGAGTCAACTCTCTTAGTAAAAGAGCTGTCTAAAGTCAAAAGAGGAAATCGAAAAGGCGTTGTCGCAGGCTAGTAAAACAAACTAAAAACGAATTCCATTAATTTAACACAAAAATTCAATTACGCACAGCACTCCCACCAAGAACAGATGGATGATCGGAATATAATTGCAAAACTACAAAAGGAATTTGTCTATAATTAATTTTCTAACTACTCGCGGCAGCAGTGCGAAAAACTAGCGGCACACCTAAGTATTTATAACTATGCAACAATGTGACAGCACCTTGCTAAAAGTATTTGTTACAAAAAAAAAAATGAAATTCAAGAAAAAGGTGATTCTCATTTCGCTAAATGGTGCGCGTTGAGTGGGTGTGTGATTGCTACTGAAGTGTTCAAATTTCAATTATCCTATGCCACTGCTAACGGCGAGTGCAACATATAAATTAAATTGAATATTCGCGCACAATTTATTGTTGCAAACACGGGAGCTGCAAAAAGTGCGCGGTGCTTAGAGGGTGAAAAAGTTTGCTAATCACGCTTAGTTTGCACTTTTCATGCTAATCAAGCAGTTACGTTTGCTTCAGTTGTGCAAGGACATGCAATAAATATGTAAGTCCTGTTGTTGCACTATGAACGAGTACAAGCAAGCGAGTGCTTTATGTTCAGCTGTCGTTGTTAGTGAGCGGTATTTGACAAGCTTGATGTGCGCATTTTCTGGAAACATATACATATATGTATACAGAAGTATGTTTGTATGTATGGAGGTGCAGCTGATGACGCTTGCTTGCTTGAGCGTTTTAATTTTTTTTTGGCGTAAACTTTGTTTAGGTTTTCACATAGTTTTTGTTTCGGCCAGTTCACTTCTTCGCACCAAAAAGTCTAGTTGCCAGCTTGCTTTGTTCCTTGCACTTGTCAACTGCAAGTACTTTTTATTTGTTGGGAACTTTGAGTTTGGTGAAAGCTGAATTTATTATTTTGTAATTTTTTCAGACACTTTTAAGTAACTTTCGTTGTTGAGCGCCATGTTTGTTCGTTCTTTGTCCTTTACAATTTAGATTTCAAAAAAAAAAAAAAGTTAGCCTCTTTAACCTGTGTGTGACCTCTAAATTTTTTTCGTGCAATGAAAAATACTTTAGCTTCTTTTAGCGCACATAAATACAAAATTTGTTTTTTGTTTTGTTTAGTATTTTGCAGACCAGTCCTAATTTTTAAAAGCTACTTAAACTTTTTTTTTTTAATTTTTCTGAATATATCTCACTTAAATTTTTACTCAAATGCATAATTCTAATGTATGTATGTGTGTCCATAATAAAACCCTGCTTTTAATACTTTCGTTCTATTTGGCTGAATGGCGCTATATATATATATATATACTTGCTATTTCCGCTTAAGTGCGTTCAGTTATTTTGAGGCATATTTTAATATTGCCAGCGTCCAAGTCTTAAGTGATATCTCTAGGAAATGTTATTGCTTAGCGTAAACTTCCTGATGAGTTTTTCTATTTTCAATTCAATTATTCCACTTACTCGCAACAAAAATTGTTAATAGTTAATAACTTTTACAAGCCAAGCCAAAATAAACGCATCCATCCGGAGGAACTCATCCTTGAAAAAGTTACATTATTTTTATATTTCTTAAAAACTGGTATTAATTGGAATATGCACAAAAAAACATGCACAAATCCTCCGCAAAACTAAAAAAAAAAATAAAAATAAAAAACACGGTTTTCTGAACTCTTTCAAAATATTCGTTCCTAAGAGACATGAAAAAGCAAGTGATCTCTTGCAGCTCACATACAACATACGTTTTGGTTGTGTTAGTCTTAACGCTATGAAGCTTTAGAAATAAGCTCAACATATCGTATATGGCACAGTTTGTTTTAGAAATATGTAAGATAGTAGAAATTATTACTAAATGATTTCTAAAAGCTTTTACGCAAAACTTTTTATGTTTCTAATGGTTGGAGGTGTCCTAAATGAATATTCCAATGTTACTCATAAGCCACGTTGTTTTTTCCTAACACTGTTCTGCAGTCGGCTGGCGAATTGATGAGACCAAGTTTTTCTGAGAGTCTGGACTGTATATAAAAAAATTATTTCTCAGTTTTCCTAGGTTGGCGATTTTAGTTTTCTTTTTTCAATTAAAATTGGTGGTCGCAGAGCAGCTTCTAAAACAATTAAAACAATTTGTATGCAAATATTTATACTCTCAAAAGGCCTTTCTGATCGGTTTTGTATACGAGACATCTGAATTTGCAACTTATTTTTGCCAAAACGGCCGCTGTGTGCGCATTGGAGAAAACAAAAACATAACGGGTCATTGTTGAGAAACATTGTTTGCACTTTTCCTTCAAGGTCCTTCCATGCTTTTTGCGTTATAGCGCACACAGCGGACATTTTGGCAAAAATAAATTGCAAGTTCAGATTCCTCGGTCTCTAAAGCCCTTCGAGAGGGCTTTTGATGGTATAAATATTTACATTTAAATTACTTTTAATTGTTTTAAATGCTGCTTTGCGATCACCAACTTCAAATTGCAATAGGACGTTTAAAGTCGCCAACCTGCGAAAAAGGAGAAATAGTCCTATCAAAGAGTCATATCAATAGCATCACCATTTCACAGTGGTATTGTTTGCCAATCATGTTTATTTATTTATTTTTAAGAATTTTCAGTTAAAATGTAGTCCATTCTCTAACAAAACGCATATGAACCCAACTTTAAAACGTTATAGAAAACTAAAAAAATATTCAAAAAATGTTCATCGCAATTTTAAACTTTTTCACAGAAGTGTTACATTTTTTTTTTGAGCTTACAGTTTTATAGCCCACTAAAATTCCAGTAATGTGCAAGTTTCAAGTAGCTAAACATTACCCGTGACTTTTTAGAATTTTTTGCCGAAGGCGTTGCGGTTTTCTTCCATATAAAAAATAAATTTCGTTTGCTCTTATATGGAAGCATATGCCACAAAAAAATCTCAAAAATCAAGGGTGGTTTTTAGCCACTTGTAACTCGCGGCTGCTGTAGTTTAGTGGCTAGCAGTGCGCGCTACTACTCCGCAGGGCCTGGGTTCAAGCCCTGTTCAAAGCAACATCGAAAAAAGTATAGAAAAAAGGTTTCTTCTTAACAGCGGTCGCCCCTCGGCTGGCAATGGCAAACCTCCGAGTGTATTTCTGCCATGAAAAACAGCTCCTCATAAAAATTGCCGTTCGGAGTCGGCATATAATGGTTAGTCTTTTCAGATTTTTCTCCTGAAACCATACTATACTGGTACTGCAATTTAGCCAGCTATATATAAATATGAAAATAATGAGCGAATGCGTGCAATATAAAGATAATTTTTATTTTAACACATCTTTCTAAGTCGAAATGAAATTACTTTTTTAAAACTTTTGTTAATTGAATACTTCTAAAAATTGTTTGCTTTTATGAATTTCAACTTTTTCATTATATTTTACAGCCTTGCGGGCAGCTTTGCTGATCCAGCGCTGGTATCGGCGCTATAGAGCGCGCATGGAAGTTCGTCGTCGCTATACATGGAATATATTTACAAGTTTGGAATACGCTGGAGAAAATGATCAAGTTGAGGTAAGTTCAAACAGTTTATATTTATGTATGTGTATGTATGTATATGCGTATAAGAAAACATAACTAGCATAGGGTCATTAAAACATATTTTTTGTTTTAATGAGACACCTAGTAGCCAGAGTCCCCGATAAAATGTCAAGCACTTTTAATGCTTCAAAAGTCAATAAATTAAATTTAACAACGGTGTTGCAAAATGTACAAAAATAAACAGATGATAAAACTAAGAAAAACCGCAGAATTTTCCGTAAACGTGTTGGTCTCATTTTGCTGTCTTAAAAATAGCGAAGCATACATATGTACATATGTAAGTTAGTGGGTATACAAATACATGCTTGCACGTGTATGTAATTTTCCTTAATGCACTGTTGCTTTCTTTGCAGGTTTCCACTTTGTTGCTTTGTCTAATTGCTTGTGTTTAGCATTTTATTTGAATGAGCGTTCTTAAAAATTGTCCGCTTTTGTTAGCAATTCTCTTTTTTAACCGACTTCCAAAAAAGGAGGAGGTTATTAGTTCGTCGGAATATTTTTTTGTGTTTTTTTTTTATGTATGTTACCGCATAACTTTGGACCACGTCAACCGATTTCGATAATTATTTTTGCATCGGAAAGGTAGTGTCTCAGAGGTGGTCCCATACTAATCTGGTTTAGATCATGAAATATATGTATATATATATTTTTTAAGTCGATTTTTTTTTTGCTAAATATTACACACACACATTTTCATAAACGGACTAGAGGTATAAAATAATTTTTATATATATTTTTATATATATATATTTTTTTAAGTCGTTTTTTTTTCTTTTTGCTAAAAATTACTAGAGGACTAGAGGTATAAAATAATTTTTTCTACACCTACCGAAGTGCAGAGTGCTTATAGTGTTAGCGTCGTTGGGGTGAAGGTATACAGGTGTTTATAGTTTGTAACATACGGAGCGGTGCTGCACTAGAGTGACTCTACTCCATACCGATGGGTGGATATTAGTACGAAGTTGTCCTTGAATGTAGAATCTACGTCTCCAGTCGTGCAGGTGCCATCTTATGTGTGCGGAGGGCGGGTCGTTTCAAAGAGAAGCGTTGTTCTATTTCATAGTGTTAAACTCTACCATAACCAACATCTAGTCGTCAATATAGCATGGCAGTTGTACGTATAACTGCGTTTTAACTCTTTCAAAAGTTTCTCGACTACGTTTTTCTTGCCCTAATGTCGGAAGCACACCCAAAGTTCACCACAGATTGGGAAATTGTTTGTTGGTCGTTAGAAGAGTATCTTTACCAAAATTCTATGTATCAGCTGTCTGGTAGCGACTTCAGGAATTTGGCCCTTGCTTTTTGAGAAAGAGTACAGGAGAATGGTTGCATGCGCAGAAGCTTATGCAAATGGGGAACGCTTTTGAATGTCGTTCACTATTTGATTATTTTGCGTACGGTTTAATCGCAGCTGACGCCGTCTAGATGTTTCTATCTACGTATCCCCTTGGTAGCTACAAATCACACGCTTAGGAGCGAATTAAAGTAGAGAAGGCGAAAAATCTAGCGTGAGCTGGAATTGAGTCCCGCCATGTGAAGAGTTTAACTGAGCCTGTGATGAGACCCTCCTCTTTTGATGGCGACCACGGTAAATGAATATTGGACTATGATTATAGGGTATGCACCTGGAATATCCGCACTCTTGATGGGGAAGGTGCCTTTGCCTGGTTGGTTTATATCCTCGGGAGGACAAAGGCTAACATCGTAGCCATCCAAGAAATGCGATCGATGGGACAAGGCAAAGAAAGCGTAGGTTCTTGCGTGTCAGTTGTCATGTAAAGTAGCAGAAATTCGGTGTTGGATTTGTGGTTGGAGAGAAACTCCGTTGCCCAGTACTATAAGAAGAGATCTTTGGCGGCACCGTTAGCCTCCACGACGAAATATCTGATAACGGACTGAGCCTAATCGACTCAGCGGAGGCCCGGAACAAGGTATATTTCAGTAAATGTTGAATTAAAAATTGTTAAAAATTAGTATGTGAAGTAGAATTTTGGTACAAAATAATATTATGAAATTTTTGGAAGATGGCCGTGACACCGCACACTTATGTCGAAATGCTGTATCTCAGTAGCCGCTTTTGCAATTCTTATTAAACTTTAGAATAGCCTTGCTTATGGTGCAGCTAAGAAATCTATTGAAAATCTTTGAAGTCGGCAAATAACCACGCCCACCTCCCAATCAACGGTAATTTACAGAAACACGAAAACTGCGAAAAATCAATGATTAATGACGCTAATTAACTCAAAGTCGATTATTACAATAATCAAAAAATTAGATTATTATTAATTTTTGGATAATGGCCCTGGCGCCGCCCACTTATGACCACAAATCTGTATCTCTGTGACCAATTTATCAATTTTACCAAACTCGGTGTACTTAATGACCTTGGTACTGGAAAGCAATTCGTTGGAAATTATTCAAATCGGACTAAAGTTTACACCTCCTTTCCGTATAACGGTAAATTGCAGAAATACGAAAACACTGATTAAACTCGGTTTTGCCCGAACTTATACATTGATTTTTGATTGAAATTTTCCCCTCATATCCCCTCAATCATAGTGACCTATTTTATTGAAATGCTTGCTAGAGTGCTTGCAATTATTGTCGTTTATAATTGTAGAGGTATTTCGTATTCTCATTTCAAATATTCACAACAAATTGCTCTACACTTTATTGCATATTTCGTTGGTACAATGCATACATATCTCAAATAGTAATGCCAAGTCCACATTGTGGCTTGCCAAAGCATTTCTGAAATACTGGTTGTTTGTCTGGTAGCTTTTGTTATACATATTACAGTGCTTTCATGCTTTATATATTTACTAGTACAAAACTTTTGTATAAATCCCTCAAATAAATAAATATATCGCAAATACTATAATTTTCCGCTTTAATAGCTTCACATAAATTATATTCCACTTCCTTTTGTCTACTTTGCTATTTTTTTCACAAACAACTCACTCACACAGCTGGCCATCACATCACGTTTGACCTTTACAATTGTCTGCATTGCCACAAAGAGAAAAAGAGTATGCATTAAAAAATTACACGCGAACTCACAAGGAAAACAAATAAATAGAATAGAATGGCATGTTCGCCAGTGGGCTACCCCATAAACAATTTCATACCCCATAAATAATTTCATACATATTACTATGTATTAACATTTATGTATATTAGACTGCATCACTAAAAAAAATGCGGTTTTTCCACCGGTATTACAAAATCTATTATATTCTAAGACGTCCACCAAAATATTTCGGAAAAATATTAAGATTTAAGCGAGCTGGACCGATTTGAAAATACCTCCAAAAATTGGGTTTTTTAGGGATTAAAAAAAGTTTCTTAAAGAACTTTTTGAAAAAAGTCCCTTCATATGACAAATTTGATTAAGCTTAAAAAATCTGCATAAAAATATTTAAAAATCTTTTCAACTGAATCGTAAGAATGAAATTTTTGATGCTGTTGTTATACTTTTTCAAAGATTGATTTACGAAAAACTTGAATAGCTGGGCCAAAAACTATTCTGATTTAGATTTGCGGAAAGTAGAAAGGTATTTTCACACTGTTTTTATTTCTGTACAAAAAAAAAATAATTCGTGTTTCCCCTTTAATTTTCAAATACCCACACTCCTTATTTCAATTTTGAATGATGTTCGTTCATCCTACCTTTCTCTTTCATCCTTTGAATGAGTTTATTAGCAAAGAAATAAAATGGGTAAGAAAACACCTTTCCAATGACTTCCCTTAAGTCTAAACCGGAAGAGTTGTGGTTCAGCTACTCAAGTTTTTCTTATAGCAATCTTTGAAAAAAGTTAAAAAACAACATCAAAAATCTCATCATTACGATTCCGTAAATTTTTTTCTTTTTTTTATATTGTTATTCAAATTTTTTAAGTTTAAACCGTTTTGTCATTTAAAGGGATTAAAAAAAAAAAATCTTTAAGAAACTATTTTGATTCATAAAAAATTTCATTTTTGGAGGTATTTTCAAATTGGTCCAGCTCACTTAAATCTTAATAATTTTCCGAAATATTTTGGTGGACGTCTTAAAATATAATAGATTTTATAATTCTAATGGAAAAATAGTACCGATTTTTTTTTTGTGCGGTGAGTGATGCAGTCTAATGTATATGGAACTTAATATTTAAGTCAGTGAGCTGGCCCTTGCTTCGGGGCAGCCCAGCGCTCACTTCACAGCAGTGTGCGTTCAGCTCGCCATACTTCGAATAAACTGCATTCAACCCTTACTAGCCATTGGCGCGCTGTGCCATCAGTGCATAATTAAATGTGGTCGGCGCTGCGACAACGTACAAGTAACATACATACGGGTATGTGCATAATTTTGTAGGCACGTATTTATGTACGTGCATGCAGTTGGAGTCCCCCGTGTCTGGCGCTATGCTTCCAAAACAAACTCGCNAAAAAAAAAAAAATCGTTCGTGTTCCCTTTTTATTTTCAAATACCCACACATCTTAATTCAATGATGATTCAATTAATTTGAATGATGTTCGTTCATCTTACCTTTCTCTTTCATCCTTTGAATGAGTTTATTAGCAAAGAAATAAAAAGGGTGAGAAAATACCTTTCCAATGACTTCCCTTAAGTCTAAACCGGAAGAGTTGTGGTTCAGCTACTCAAGTTTTTCTTATAGCAATCTTTGAAAAAAGTTAAAAAACAGCATCAAAAATCTCATCATTACGATTCCGTAAAACTTTTTCTTTTTTTTTTTATATTTTTATTCAAATTTTTTAAGCTTAAACCGTTTTGTCATTTAAAGGGATTAAAAAAAAAAAAAATCTTTAAGAAACTATTTTGATTCATAAAAAACTTAATTTTTGGAGGTATTTTCAAATCGGTCCAGCTCACTTAAATCTTAATAATTTTCCGAAATATTTTGGTGGGCGTCTTAAAATATAATAGATTTTATAATTCTAATGGAAAAATAGTACCGATGTTTTTTTTTTGTATGGGGAGTGATGTAGTCTAATGTATATGGAACTTAATATTTAAGCCAGTGAGCTGGCCCTTGCTTCGGGGCAGCCCAGCGCTCACTTCACAGCAGTGTGCGTTCAGCTCGCCATACTTCGAATAAACTGCATTCAACCCTTACTAGCCATTGGCGCGCTGTGCCATCAGTGCATAATTAAATGTGGTCGGCGCTGCGGCAACGTACAAGTACATACATACGGGTATGTGCATACTTTTGTAGGTACGTATTTATGTACGTGCATGCAGTTGGTGTCCCCCGTGTCTGGCGCTATGCTTCCAAAACAAACTCGCTTTTTTTTGTTTTACTTCATTACTTCATTTATTTTGCTTTCTACTTTTTTTTTTGCAATTTTCTTTGCGGTTGGACATCGAAAAGCGCGCGACCACACTAACGCTTCTCTCTCCCCATTGCTTGCGGTCAAGTGAACTTAATGGCGTTGTTTCGTGCGCTTGTGTTCGTGCTTTCACCAGCAGTTCATTTCTAATTTAATTTCATGTTTCAAATATTCAATTTAGTTTTAATATCATTGTGTGTTGGGGTATGTGTCATTTAATTCTGGTTTTCGTTCATGATTTACTAGAGAAAATTACTGTCATAAAATTGGTAAAATCACGAACTAGCAATTTATTTTATAGTGACCACAAAAAACTGCAAGGGAGTTTTCAAGTGTGTACTATTAGCAATGGCAACTTGTTTTCACATATTTACCACTTTTTTTCGTTTGTATGTACTTAAATGTGAACCTTCAAAACCCACAGACTTAGCAATAAAAAAATATATGTTGTATATGTAATACGCTGTACATACAACTTTTGAGCTATAATTTACACTTTATCCGCCTGAAGATTGCTAACGTACTTGTAAGATATCATTATCTAAAAAAAACTTGTTAAGCCATTTTCAATGTCGTTCGAGTTGTCGTAAACTGTGCACTTGCATGACAGTTGTCAAGGGCAACCTTGACCTTCATTTTTTACATCTCTAGTGAAATTTAATTTTTATATACTATACATACAAAGGATTTCCTGCAGCAATTTTTAAACATGACTACCCCTTTCTTAGTTTTTTTTTTAAGCTGTGTGGACTATAAATAAGAAAACTTGTTAAAAATAAATAAAAAGAATATTCATAAAGATTTTTCCAAGCTTTTTCCTTGTATCCATTTTGGCATTTTTATCTACCTTTGGAATGAAAGTACCCGAAAAAGTAGGTAAGTAGGTAGGTGCGGCTGCCGCTAATAGTGTTGAAAGCTTACGACAGCTTTGCCCGCGGGCAAGGCGGTGCCCATCAGTGATTTAGTGTCTCTGACGAATCCCTACAGCGATTTTAGATTTGTATCCGCCACTTCGCTTACATATGTACATATATCGTCAAAAAAAGGCAACCCCAAGTGCGTAGTTCCCTCATGGACAGTGCAGAGCAGTCAGAGAGAAGGTGAGAAACTGCCACCTGCTCCACATTGTTTTCGTTGCACCATCTGCATGATTAACGTCCTGCAAGCAGCTTGAAAGTCCTGGAAGACTCTACTTGGTCGTAATATTTACAGTTTTTCTCTAGATTATTCAATACTCATTATAAATATAAGTGAATAAGTTTATAATATTTTTAGAAAAATTTCGGTTATGCCGTTTTGTATCCGAATAATTTTCAGTATATCTAATAAAATGCACGTTTCAAGTGGCTGTCAAATAGCGTTGAGTTTTGGTAATTTTTTTTTGTTGGCGGTGCTGCGCATATTTGAGCATATCGGCCGGAAGAAGGTGAAATTTGTTTAAAATGCAAGGGTGTGAGTGTCCCAGTGCTTTAGTGAGTCTGCGAGGTCTCTTTTAAACGAACAACAGAGTGTAGCTAAAAAGGCTATAAGTCCATTTGGAGCTAAAAAATTTTTTTTTTTTTTTGTTTACAAGCCCTAATAGTTATTATTATTGTAATTATTACGTAGTATACTTTTTAGAGATTAGAAAACATCACCCACATTGATTGCAGTGGGCTCTAAATATCTCGATACATGAAAAAATGTACTTGTGGCATTTTGAAAAAAAAAAACAAAAACAAGGAAACGGCACATATTTAGTGCACATTTTAGATGAATTCCCAAATATAAGATTTAATAATAATTTGCACATTTCTGCCTATGACTTTATGAAACACATAAAAAAATTCTTTACTTTTCTTTGCAGCTATACAACTTCTTCAATGCGTTACTTACACACATTCCCGAAGCTGCTGCTTCCCATCGTCCATCAATACAAAAGGACTCAGAGATATCATTAGGTAATTACGAATATGTTGTTTAACTGATATACTTATTTATATTGCGCACTTTTTTTTACTTATGTAAGAATGTTTTAATTCCCTATCTACGCGAACGAGAAGTGTAATTAGAAGTATGATCATCAAGAAGCAGATAAAATGATCCTGTCATGTTAGAAATATTCATATACATATCTACATACATATGTAAATAAGTATAAATATATATTTATACACACACTTACACACTTGTAAGAATTTATTCTATGTATTTGCTATCAAATATAAAGTAGATTTTACGTAAATTCTGCAAAGATGCAAAGAGGATGCAATTTGGATTCGAAACTTCTGATTTTTTATTTTGACTTCCAATTCTTGATGATTTTTGGCTGCATTTTAAAGTTGCACGCAGTAAAACGAAGTTAAAAGTGAATTTTCGGCTCCAAATGGCATCCACGGCTATAATAATGAAAAAATAATATGCATACTTTTGACACACCCTGTATATTAGATTGTACGTGCGTATATGCTCATTTCTCATTGTATGTATGTACTCGTATTACTCTATTTGTATCGCTAATTCTTCACCTCTCTCTCTCTCTCATATTGTCTTTCGCATATCCTCTTCATTCCCTCAACTCGTTCCATTTACCTTGTATGTGTAACGCTTACAATACAAACATATGCTTGTGACAAATAAAATGTTACACGAACTACAGCTTCAGATGTTTATTTCGATGAGTCAGATTTCAATGAGGATGGCGAATATCGGTCGGATAAAAATTATGATGGACCACATATAAAATTTCCACTAATTAAAAAGGATATTGTGACGCTAATTGATTTGTTTCGCAAGAAAAAGGTGAGCTAAATTATACAGCAATTAACTAATGCCGTTTTCTTTTCTACCGGAAAATGTTAGCTTCTCATTACCCTGTTCGCACAAATACTAAGGAGAGGGCAATAGGAAGGCAACATTAAAAAAAA